CCTGCCGTGTTCTACTCCAGCGCGGGGCGCGTCCTCAGCCCGGAGCTGGTGGAAGAGGCGCAGACGCTGTTCGCCACCCTGCTGGACCGGTCGCGCGAGTTCCTGCACGCGCCGCCGGCCCCTGTGCCCAGCGTGGGCGAGTATCTGCGGACGGAGATCGCCCGGCAGCTGGAGCAGTGGAGGGGCGATGCCGATGCCAAGCGGCTGACGCTGGCCGTCCTTAACACGTGCTTCAAGCTGGAGTGCTGCGTGAGCGGGACCCACAGCATGGACCTCGTGGCGCTGGGGCCCTTTGGGGAGTACACCATGCTCCCCGGCCTGGACTGCACCTTCCCCGGGTGAGTGAGTGGGCCCACCCGGGGCTGGCAGGCTTCGAGGGCGACCTGGCACGGCGGCCCCCCCGCGGCAGGGTCGGGCGGGGTGGGAGAGCCGTCCATGCCCGGCTGCACCCTGCACTGCCCACCTTGTGCCTGCTGCAGCCATACCCACCGAACTGGTACTTTGGGGCTTTGCCAGCTGCACCCGCCCTCGCCAGCTCTGTGCTGGTCCCGCCGGCAGCAGCCCGCTGTGTGCCCCGCACAGAGGGAACCCAGCAGCCCTTCGCTCGCCCAGGCCAGCTGGAGCAGCCGGGGAGGGAGGGAACGGGGGTCAGGCTCCCCCCATGGAGCCAGACAGCTCTGGGGAAGATGGGGAAATTAAGGCCCAAGCCTGGGCGCTGGTCAGGGCCTCTCCTGGTTGGGAGGCAGTGGGCCTCGTGGGTGGGTCTGTCTGAGCTCGGGGACCCCAGCGAGCCCTGGGCTGATGTCCTGGCGCTGGGCCCTTTCTCTCCTGCAGTGGCTACGGAGGCCTCCCGGACTGCCTGCTGCGCTCCCTGCCCGAGGGGAGCGTGATGTTCCACAAGCCAGTCGCTGGGCCGGCTCCTACCGGGAGGGGGGCCACGAGGGGCGGCCGTTCCCGGTCCAGGTGGAGTGTGAGGACGGCGAGAGGTTCCTAGCAGATCACGTCGTCGTCACGGTGCCGCTAGGTCAGTGGTTCCCAATCTTTTGATCCTGGGGACCAGTAAACCCGTTCACAAGCTTTTTGGAGGACCTGGCGCATTTATTTGCATATTCATTAAGCAAATTATGAATATACAAAGACATTGTTTCTGGTCCTCCCAAAGCGCCCAGTGCCAACAGGAGCGGCCCGGTTGACTGCCCTTGGCAGTTTCCCAACCCCAAGGTATCTACTACACCCCCATTTGGGACCGGTAAGGTTAGAAGGTCTCTCTTAGGCCTTCCCGGTGTCTCGGCTCGTATGGGCCCTGGAGGTTGGGTGAGTAGCCCCGTGTCCTCTCCCCCAGTTGTGCCTGCGTTCATGGGTGAAACTGCAGGCTGCACCTGCCCCGGGACGTGTCGCTGGCCCTACCTGTCCAGCAGGTTGTTCTGCTCCCCCTCCTGGCCCCAATCCCGGCTGCTATATCAGCCGGCGCTGGCTCCCCCGGCTGCATCCAGCGCTGGGCGTTCTGCGTCGGTGCACCCGGCCTTCTCCCTGGGTCCTCGCCTCCGCCGGATCTAGCCCCACCGCCTGGCAGAGATGCCGCGGCGGCCGGCTCTCCCAAGAATCATGCGTGACAATTTTTCTGAGGACCAATATTTTTTTCCTAAGGACCGGTACTGGGCCGTGGACCACACTTTGGGAAACACTGCGCTAGGTGACACGCCTCACGCCTCCCTGGGAGGCAGGGGAACCGGACGCTGCTCCGTGGGCTGGCTGGGCCCGGCCCTGCCCTTCCTGTCTGCTGCTCACGGGAAGGGCAGCTCTGCCTGGGGGCATCAGGGTGGCATTGCCCCTCCTCCCAGCCTGAGCCCTGGTGAAACCCCATTGCTGGGCATTATGCCAAGGAGGAGGGAGCTCAGGTACCAGGCAGGCCCAAACCTCCAGTGTCTAAAGCCAGGGGGGAAAGCCCCTTGTGGGCATCTCTGCCTCCTGAAGAAGCCAAAGGGCTCATGCCAGAGGGTCCCTTCCAGCCAAGCAAATTGCACAGGCTGGGCAGGGCCTGAGGGCATCCCAGTACCCAGGCCCAGTAGGGGGAGAGGGGGATGGCAGGATAATTGGGGTCAGCCCTTGGGGGCTGAGGGAAAAGCCTTCCAGGCAGTCAGACTCGGGAGGCTTCCCATGGGAAGGGCACCAGATCCCCGCCCTGATGCTGGGCGAATCCAGTCAGTAACCCCCCAGCGGGTTCCCGCCTGGGCTGGGGGCAGTGTGGGCGCTCCGGTGCAGCCCCCAGCCCAGAGACCCAGCGAGCAGGGGGGCGGAGACACGGCTGCCCCTGGGGGCTGCCTGTTGTATCAGCCCCCGCCAAATGTGCCTTGGGGCTCTGCAGCCACACCTGCCTCACCAGCTGTGGTCTGATACAGCCGGGGCGGTGCTGGCCCCCGAGGAGCAGCTGGGCAGCGCAGGGACGGAGTGCTCCCGGCCAACGGACCGCACACAGAACTGGCTTCCGGGGGAATTGGGTGGGCGTGACACTCGGCCAGCGCCAGTTGTATCAGCCCCCGCCAAATGTGCCTTGGGGCTCTGCAGCCACACCTGCCTCACCAGCTGTGGTCTGATACAGCCGGGGCGGTGCTGGCCCCCGAGGAGCAGCTGGGCAGCGCAGGGACGGAGTGCTCCCGGCCAACGGACCGCACACAGAACTGGCTTCCGGGGGAATTGGGTGGGCGTGACACTCGGCCAGCGCCAACACAAAGGGGTGCCGGCCCCTCTGCCTTGACTCAGCCTCCCCGTGGCGACCGCGGGCTCTGGCGGGGGGTGAGGCTGCGACTGTAGCACCGGGGGTGCTCATGCCATGCGAGAAGCCCAGGTGGTTCATGAAGAACAAGGTGTCGCAGCCGCCCGTCCGGATCGAGGGCCTGGCCGCGTTTGCGGCTCTGGGAGGCTGCTGGCTGCGGGGCAGGCCTGGTGCTCGGTGCTGTGTAAAAGTGTTTCCACCTGCTCTGTGGGAGGATGCTCTGTCTCAGCTGTGGGCGTGCAGGGCTGAGGACCCCTCTCCCCATCGCAGCTGCGCTCCCCCAGCTCTCTGCAGCAAAGAACCCCTCCTTTAGCGCTGTGCCAGGAGCAAAACGTGGCCCGAGCCCGTTGTCTGCCCCACGGCTGGGCCCCGGATTGACAGCGGCCTGCCCTGCCCCCAGCCACGTGGGGCAGGACTCGCTGCTGCCCATCTGGGGACGAAATCCAGCCTGCCCAGCGGAGTCTGATCCCGTCACCAGTGCAGGCGAAACTCCATCCTGGGCTGCTGCCTTCGGCTCCTCGGGGCCACAAAGGGCCCTTTGTGGCCAGGGCGACAGGCGCTGCCAATGTTTCCCTGACCCCCTGGCTTCACCGCCCACGCCTGGGCAGCTGGCAGCACGTAGCCGTGGGCAGCCCTGTGCCAGGCGGCTCCGGCTTAGGAGGCAGCGGTAGGGAAGACAGGTGACCTCCCCTCCCTTTGTAGGGTTCCTTAAGGAGCATCACGAGCCAGGCGGCTCCGGCTTGGGAGGCAGCGGCAGGGAAGACGGGTGACCTGCTCTCCCTTTGTAGGGTTCCTTAAGGAGCATCACGAGACCTTTCTCCACCCGCCGCTGCCGCCCCGGAAAGCCGACGCCGTCCGACGCCTGGGCTTTGGGACGAACAACAAGATCTTCCTGGAGTTTGAGCAGCCCTTCTGGCCGGCAGACTGTCAGCTGATCGAGGCTGTCTGGGAGGACGAGTCTCCCCTGGCCGAGGCTGAGACCGACCTGCAGGCCGGCTGGTTCAGAAAACTGGTTGTCTTCGTGGTCCTCCAGCCACCAGAGCGGTAGGCGGGGGGCTGCGTTGGGGCTTCTGGGGTGCTCGGGGGTTAGAACATGCCTGGCGCCAGCTTTAGGGAACTAGGTCGTGGCAGCGTTGTGGCTTTTCTCACTCCACCAGCTCAGCCCCTTGAGAACTCGCATCTCTTGGGCCCCGCGGGTGGGGGCGGGGAGACTAGCTGTGCTCTTTTGGAAGGGGGGGAGGGCAGGATACCAGGAGACACATGCAGGGCAAACCGTAGCTTTGCCAGACCCTAGCAGTTGCCTTTGCTCTCTGCGGAGGTGGGGCCGCTGCTGTTTGCCTCCCCCACTCCGAGCAGCTCCCCGCTCTGGACTGAAGTTGTTCCCCTAATAGAGACACGTCCTCTGTGGTTTCCTTGCTGGGAAGGAATCGGAGTACATGGAGACCCTGAGTGATGCTGAAGTTCTCACAGTCTTGACGGACGTCATCCGGCGACTGACAGGTACCCCCTCTCCTGCAGGGCCTGGCCCACGTGTGACCTGTCCCGCACCTCGCTCTGCGCTCTTCAAGGGGCCAGCAGCCTGGGCCCCCGCTTGATTGGCCTTAAAGGGACCTGGTTTTCAGCAAGTGCCAGGCACCCCCAGTCCCCATCATCAGCCTCTCTGTGTTGACTCCAGCTGAGCCCTCCCCCAAGCTCTCGTCCCTTTTGCAAATGGAGGCCTTGAACCGGAAGCCGAGGGGTCTTCGCCATGGGCAGCAGAGCTGGGACCCCTGAGCAAGGTGGGGGAAGGCCAGCGCCAGGCTTTTGCAAGGGGCGGGGTGGAGGGCAGCTGCCCCTCAACGCTGCCTGGACCCACTCCCTAGCCCTTAGCACTTCCCGGAGCATGTGGCACAGCGCTCCGCCGGGCTCCAGACCCGGACACCGGTGTGCCACCCACCCCATGGGGAAGAGCTCACCCCCGAGGTGCCAGATTAGCCGCACTCGTCCAAGCGTGAGGCCCTGCCTCGGTTTGCAGAGCTGCCTGCCGGGCGTGGAGCGGCGACCTGGCTCTTCGGCCCTGGCCCGGTTTGTGAGTGGTGCCTAAGCAGACGGCATCGTCCCTCTCCTTATCCGCTAGCACAGCCCCAGCACTGCGGGCAGGACCCCAAATTCCTTCCGGCATGCCCCTTCTCATCCTGCTCCAGTTGCCAGGGTGCCTCCCCTCCTCTGGTTGCCAGGGTGCCAGGTTGCTAGGATGCCTCCCCTGCATTCCAGTTGTTAGGGTGCCTCCCCCTGTGCTCTCGTTGCTAAGGTGCCTCCCCCGTGCTCTGGTTGCTAGGGTGCGCCAGTTGCTAGGGTGCCTCCCCTTCTCCAGTTGCTAGGGTGCCTGGTTGCTAGGGTGCCTCCCCCAGGGTGCCTCCCCTCCTCTGGTTGCCAGGGTGCCAGGTTGCTAGGATGCCTCCCCTGCATTCCAGTTGTTAGGGTGCCTCCCCCTGTGCTCTCGTTGCTAAGGTGCCTCCCCCGTGCTCTGGTTGCTAGGGTGCGCCAGTTGCTAGGGTGCCTCCCCTTCTCCAGTTGCTAGGGTGCCTGGTTGCTAGGGTGCCTCCCCCTGTGCTCTCGTTGCTAAGGTGCCTCCCCCGTGCTCTGGTTGCTAGGGTGCGCCAGTTGCTAGGGTGCCTCCCCTTCTCCAGTTGCTAGGGTGCCTGGTTTTTGTGGTGCAGGGGACCCCCCCCTCGCCCCGCCGAAGAAGGTGCTGAGATCGCAGTGGCACAGTGCGCCCTACACCCGGGGCTCCTACAGTTACGTGGCCGTGGGCAGTTCGGGAGACGACATCGACGCGCTGGCTCAGCCCCTCCCCGAGGACGCCGCTGACCCTAGGGTAATGCCTTGCCCCCTCGCACGAGCACAGCCGGAGCTCTGCGGAGGGGGCGGACCACGCCCCAGCTGCTGGCATTTGCCAGCTTTGAGCCCAGCTAGATGCCCGGCCGGTGGCGAGAGTGCCAAGGGCAGGGGGGGGGGGAAC